AAATAATTAGAGTGCTATATATAATAAGTGATATGAAGGAGATTTTAAACAAACTCTTTCTTAATCATTTTGAAGAGAGCACTAGAGACTTTTAGTATAATACAACCATACTAGAATAAGTATTTAGATATTTTAACAGGTAGCAGAGGTGTGAAACTATTATTGTGCAACAATTATTTTAACAATTAATAAATTGTATAATATGTAAATCTATGTTAATATATAATAATAATAATAATAATAAAAGATGACTGGTTTAACATTAAATTGGTTATTCACTATTAAAACCACTCACTTTAGATCACTCATTCTTATACTTCAAATAAAATTGAGTGATAAATTTAAAATGACGTGGCATAAAATATAATAAAATAGAAACCGTATAGATTGATATGATTTATATATTATTTATCAAATAGTAAAATAATTAATTTTTAAAGCTGAAATTGAAATGAAAAATAAATTGATTTTCGTCAACGATGTTTCAAAAATAAATAGTAAAATAATTATGACAGAAAATTTTTTATTTACTGAAAAAAAATAAAATAATTTTTTTTTCTAAAATAAAAATAATTTTTTTTCAAAATAAAAATAATTTTTTTTTGAAAAAAAATTTCAAAGTTTTTTTTTAATTAAAAAAATTGACTAATTTGGTTTTTATTTTGGATATGGATGTCCAAATTATGGATTTGGTTAAAACCATATTAAAAATATATCCAAAATATGGATTTGGTGAAAACCATACTAATAATTAACCGGTTTTTAATAACCGAATTTGAATATTGATATGGATTATTTAAATAACCGGTTTATTTGAGCACCCCTATTCATGAGAATATGTCTGATAGGCCAAAAGTACATAAAAATTATTTGCAATTTAGCACAAGAAAACTTTTAAGATGTGTGGGTTGGGCCTAACTAGGGGTGTACAAAAAAATTGGTTCACAAAAACCAAATTTAAAAATACGGTGCACCGATTTCAAAAGTCATATTATTTGGTTTAAAAATTTGTCCAAATTCATTTTATTAAAACCATTAAAAATCGGTGTTCACTTTTTAAAATCATGGTTAATCCACTTTTCAACCTCTTTGTCTTATTTTTATTTCATGGTCATAAATGACAATTAAGAAAATGTATATGTAATAATATATATATATATATATATATATATATATATATATATATATATATATATATATATATATATATATATATATATATATATATATATATATATATATATATATATATATATATATATATATATATATATATATATATATATATATATATATATATATATATATATATATATATATATATATATATATATATATATATATATATATATATATATATATATATATATATATATATATATATATATATATATATATATATATATATATATATATATATATATATATATATATATATATATTACTTTTTTTTAAGAAAACTTTGTGTTCTCATAGTCTCATAATAATGCATTTAGTCTTTCATCTCACATTTTAAATGTTTATTATTAGATTGAAATTATATGATTACTAAGTTGTTTTTGTATGGTTTTAACTTGAATTAATTCAATTATTAAACTAATATGTTTTTTCTTAGAAATCTTTTCAACTAAAGTGATAACGAGTGGAGTCAGAAAAATGATAAGTGTAAAATAGTATATAGAGAGCATTTTCTTGAAAAGGTGAAAAAAAAAAGAGATTTTTATATAAATGAGAGAAAATTATAGGTATGTGAAGAGAGATTGAGTATTTTGTAATTACTCAATTTTGATTTTTCTGATTGAAAATTTATTTTATTTTTTTTCCGGTTCCTTAACATTTTTTTATAACTATTATTAATTATTTCAATTCAATTTAATTTATTGTCAATGAATGGTTATTAATTTCAAAAATGTTTGGATGAAGTTAAAAATAAGTTGTTGGATTAAGAATTAAATTTTAGTTGAAATAAGTTTGAGGAAAATTTGGTTTTAAAATTGGTCCAAACAAAAACTAGTTTTTTTTAGTGCAAACCAGATTTAAAACTGTTTCAAACTATGGTGCACAATAATCAAATTTAAAACTGGTCCAAACAAAAACTAGTTTTTTTTAGTGCAAACCACCACTTCAACCTCCTATCATATATTATCTAAAAATTAGGGGTGTGCAAAAAAAACTGGTTCACAATAATCAAATTTTAAAATATGGTGCGCCGATTCCAAAAAACCATATTATTTGGTTTAAAAACTAATCCAAACTCATTTTATTAAAACCATTAAAAACGGATATCCACTTTTTAAAACCATGGTCAGTCAACTTTTTAAACTCTTTGTCTTATTTTTGTTTCGGGTCATAAATGACAATTAAGGTAATGTATGTGTAATAAATAAAACTTATATATATATATATATATATATATATATATATATATATATATATATATATATATATATATATATATATATATATATATATATATATATATATATATATATATATATATATATATATATATATATATATATATATATATATATATATATATATATATATATATATATATATATATATATATATATATATTGTTCCGGTCTGGGACCGACATCGGTAGGCCCAATGCCACGTACGACCCAACAGGTGAACTGGGCACGCCGGGCACGTGCGTCCCGCGAGTCGAGCAGAGCATGCCGCCGGACACAAGCAGCGCATCCAACAGCTGCTCGTCGTCCCTTTTACCAGCCGAACAGAACCGACCCCGGCGCACCAAAGCGCGGCCCTTGGTTCCTCCCCTCCGCGGGGAGAACAACGCGCTCCGGGGAACCTCCCGAGCTCCCCTCCGCGGGGAGAACAACGTGCCCGGCGCACGTTCTCCACGCGCTCCCCTCCGCGGAGACACGTCATCAACCAACTGCCCACCTCCGAAAGAGCAAGTCAAACCCACTTTCCGGAGATCTAGGATCAGTTGGACTAGGGCGAAGACCACGTCCTGGTCTTCACTATGCCACGTAAGCCCTAACAGTCATTAGGGTTGGGCCTGGTCATCCAGCCCATCTCAAATGACCGTTGGCCCAGCGCTGGGGTCTCTCTATAAATACCCTCTTCCTCAAGAGGGTCAGGTAATTCACATCTTGCCCTTTCTGTACTTTTGCTCCCACTCTGCTCAATTCCTTACTTTGGCATCAGAGTGTCTTGCAGGTACACCCCCCTTCTCCTCCTCATCACCGGTGACCAGGTAACAGTCCACTCCTCCTCATCACCGGTGACCAGGTAACAGTCCAACAGAGTGTGGTCAATCCGTGATCCCCTCCTGATCAGGTCAGATCATATATATATATATATATATATATATATATATATATATATATATATATATATATATATATAAATTACTTTTTTAAAGAGAACTTTGTGTTCTCATTGTTCTCATAGTTTCATAACGATGCATTTAGTGTTTCATCTCACATTTTAAATATTTATTATTAGATTGAAATTATATGATTAATAAGTTGTTTTTGTATGCTTCTTACCTTGAATTAATTCAATTATTAAACTAATATATTTTTTCTTAGAAATCTTTTTCACTAAAGTAATGACGGGTGGAGTTAGAAAATGATAAGTGTAAAATAGTATATAGAGAGCATTTTTTTTTTTGAAAAGGTGAAAAAAAAAGAGTTTTTTATATAAATGAGAGAAAATTATACGTATGTGAGAGAGATTGAGTATTTTGTAATTACTCAATTTTTATTTTTCTGATTGAAATTTTTTTTTTATTTTTTTTACGGTTCCTTAGCATTTTTTTTCATAATTATTACTCAAATTTGATTTTTATAAAATTGGTTTTAAAACTGATTTCTTTAAAAAAAAATTAAAAACTGATTTTGAGAGAAACCAGTTTAAAATTAGTTTTTTTAAAACTGTTTTTTTTTAAAAACCGGTTTGAAACTGAACCATTCCACTTGTAAACTGATTTTAAAAAAATAAACCAATTTTATATAAACGATTTGGTTTATAATCCATGCACGCCGCTAGACTTAACTCAACTCTACAAGTGAGGATGTCCGATGTAAGACTACAAGTATGTATTTAAGTGAGGATGTCCGATGTAAGACTACAAGTATGTATTTATGTAATTGAAAATCTAACTATGATAACAGAGAAAATGACAAGTCTCAACAGAAATATACAACTGAATTTAACAAACTCTTGCAAGCTCGTAGAGATAGCCTCATCAATGACACCTCTCGAAAATATAGCACAATCTCGGAAATAGCAAACCTTGTTCTGATGTTAAATGATATCAAACCCGTCATTGACGAGATCTTGAAATGGTCTTAGGGTCAGCACCAGTTTGAGGGACCTAGAGAGGAAGTGGCCTTCGTAGCCACATCCTGAAGACACTCCTCGAGTGACTATTGTTGGTCCTCCGATGATGCCGTTGTACACTAATTTGCAATCAATCACTGAGAATTGAGTTCTCACTGGTCAGCGTACATTCCGCAAGAATTTCCTTAGTCTACTAAAACTCTCCACACGTCATAGTTTGCAATTACGGCTTTAATCAGTAAAAAGATATTATTCAAATGTAATGATTTATAGTATTTTTCTTCGTGAAATTTTTTATACAGTCAATTTTTGTATAGCTATTTGTGTGTACCAAATTGTATCAATTTATTTTAAAAGGACAATTTATTGACTCAACTTTTATAATAGGATGAAAATACTAATTGAAAACTTTTACCATTTGTTGGGGAAAAAAACTCTTTAATAGCTCCTGATTTCAAAGCCATCACCAAACAAGCATGCTGCACTAGTCAATGAAATATAAAAACGCGCATGAATCAAACATCGTCGCTCGACAAGCTCAGTTTTGTTGCCAGAAGAGATTAGGAAGAAGCAATATATAAACACACACGAATCAACAAAACTAATAATCATTGTCAAACACACACAACAAAACTGAGTAAATAAACAAACTGTGGTATCTTATATATACATGTAATGTGTCACACATTCATATTATTATAGAAATATATAAACTCTGATGGTAGATCTGCATAATCATTGCAAGTGTAAGACTTGATCTCTGGCCTCACACCATTCGGCCTTTTGTCGAAAAATACAACAACCACAGTTATATCATCATGATAAATCGGTCTAGATCTGTCGGGTACCATATCCCAATTCCCACTAGCACAATTGCCTTTAGGAAGCTCTACAATGTCACTGTATTTGCTTTCCTTTTTATCAGCCCCCTTCTCTATAGCAATTATGGCTAGTCTTTTCGCAATATTTTCTCGTGGACTGGTGTTAACAATTCTAGCAGCAAGCTCATTTGAAATCAATTTCCAAAATCCGCTAGATCCAAATATAATGAAACTATCATTGTCTTTTAAGACTCTTGAATAAACTTCTGGTTCTGATCTTAGCACAGGTCTTGTAAAAGCTGAAACCACTCGTTCTCGCATTGGGATTTGGAATGATCTCCTTTGAGTAAACGGCACCTTCTTCATGTACGCATAACCTATACATCTACTTGTCTCGATTAAGCCTTTAATAGTCCATGATGGATCTTTGTTAGCATGATAATCAGCATTTGGGTGGTACATTTCACTAAATTCGTAAATAAGATTATCATCTGGATGCAATGTACGGAGTTCTTTTTGAACATCTAAATTATCACAATTGTGATCTCTAACCATTTGCTTCACACGCAATCTTTTAAATGGACCAATATCCTTCTCAGAACCAAGCACAGCACGCGAGTCTCCCACGTTGGCAAGATATAGTGTCCCCCGCCATATAAAACAAATCAAACAACCTGAACTAACTAAACCTATCTGTTCTTGATGTTGGTGTTCAAAACTGGTTCTAGCAAATTCCATAAATCCGCTTTCGATTTCCTCAATAACTTCCCTCAATATATCCACAGTCATATTGTTATTATTCTCCATAATACGTCCTGCAATTAATTACTGTTGTAATGATAGTAAGAAATAACACACACGGATATGACTGAAAATGCAAACAAGAAAGAAACAAAGAATGAAAGAAGACTCACTCAAAAGAGCCTGAAAGATGTGGCTACGGATATAGTTGGCAGCGGTCTTGCCTTTAAAGCCATCATAAATTCCAACAAAGAGTGCATCAAGGCCAACATCAACATGGCTGTGATCTTCCATATCCTTATTTGACTGAACTGAAGCCATGGAAAATTCGCCACAGTAATGCCTATCCAGTCTCATTGATCTTGCGAAAGGGTCATTATTAAACGTTTCAGCGGTAACACGATAAATTCTGTAAGGGATCGGGATCCCGAAAAGTATACATTTTAGAAACAGACTCATGATCTTGTGATTTCACATTCTGAAGACCAGAAAGTGTGATTACAGAATGAGTGAAGGAGAAAGGAAGAGGTTAAACGAGTGGTGAGTTTGTGGAAATATAAATCTGAATCTGGTTGACTGATTCATAGTATTCAAATGTCATGATTTTTAGTATTTTTCTTAAATAATTTTTTATATATTCAATTTTTTTATAACGAATGGTATGTACTGTGTGCCAAATTGTATTTCTTTTATAAAAATAAATTGTCTCAATTTTATTTTATACATGCAACAAAGTTTATAATATTTAGAAAACTCTTTAATAGGTTCTGATTTCAAAGCCAGTTTAATACATCGGCTGAACACGCAGGAATCAAACATGGTCACTTGACGAGCTCAGTTTTGTCGCCAGCCGTGAATCGGAAGAAGCTATAAGCTATATTTGCAATTCTTTTTTTGGTAATAAATCAACAACATTAAAATGTTAACGATGCAATGTTTCATTCAACAGAACTGAGTAATCATTGTCACTTACAGTTACAACAAAGCTGAGTAAATGAACAAACTATGTATTTTGTCACACATTCATATTATTATTATAGAAATGTATAAACTCTGATGGTTGATCTGCGAAATCACTGCAAGTATAACAATTGATCTCCGGCCTCACACCGCTTGGCCTTTTGTCAAAAAATACAACAATCACAGTCATATCATCATGATAAATCTGTCTAGATCTGACAAGTTCCAAACCCCAATGCCCGCTAACTTCTTCTCCCTTAGGAAGCCCGAAAATGCCACGGTATTTGTTTCCCTTTTTACCAGCCCCCTTCTCTATAGCAAGTATGGCTAGTCTTTTTGCGATATCATCTTGTGGACTGACGTTAACAATTCTAGCAGCATGCTCATTTGACATCAGTTTCCAAAATCCGCTAGATCCAAATATAATGAATCTATCGGTGTCTTTTAAGGCTCTTGAATAAACTTCTGGTTCTGATGTTAACACAGATCTTGTAAAAAGTGAAAGGACTCGTTCTTGCATCGGGATTCTGAATGATGAGCCCACAGTAAAGAGTGCCTTCTTCAAAATAGTAACAGTCATATGGTTATCATCCAGCTCAATACGCCCTGCAATTTAGCACATAAAACTTCCCTCAATATATCCACAGTCATATTGTTATTATTCTCCATAATACGTCCTGCAATTTATTACCGTTGTAATGATAGTAAGAAATAACACACACGCATATGACTGAAAATGCAAACAAGAAAGAAACAAAGAATGAAAGAAGACTCGCTCAATAGAGCCTTAAAGATGTGGGTACGGATATAGGTGGCAGCGGTCTGCCTTTAAAGCCATCATAAATCCCAACGAAGAGTGCATCATGGCTAACATCAACCTGGCTGTGATCTTCCATATCCTTATTTGCCTGAATTGCAGCCATGGAGAATTCGCCAAGGTAATGCCTTTCCAGTCTCATCGACCTCTCTAAGGGGTCAGCATTAAACGTTTCCATTCTGACACGATAAATTTTGTAAGGGACCGTAACCCCGAAAAGTAGATATTTTAGAAACAGTCCCGTGATGCTGTGTTTTCACTTTCTGAAGACAAGAAAGTATGATTAGAGAGGAAAGATTGAAGAAAGATTGAAGGAGAAAGGAAGACGGTGAATGAGTGGTGAGTGTGTTGAAAGATTGAATGAATGTTGATTACTAACTCTGGTAACAGAAAATCAACTATGGTAACAGAAAATGTTAAGTCTCAACAGAAATATATAACTGAATTTAACTAACTCTGTTGTAAAATAACAACTCTCAATGGAAATATATATAGGGCCTGTTTGGATAAACAGCTGCAACTTAGATGGCTTAGGAGTGATAACTGATACTTAGTGCCTATCTACAGTTTATTTCCTATATAAAGTTCTAGACTTAAAATTACACAGTCAAACAAATAGCCAATGCTTCAGGAGCATACATATGGTGAGAATAGGAACAAAAAGGAATGTCAGAGAAGCTTCTGAAGGAATTGATCCATGGCACTGGTTCAGATATGTATGTGATCTCATCTGGCATCACAGATATGTCATGATAACTCCGCCTTGTTCTTTCAAAAGAAACACTACGTCCCTTTGGAACCTTCAAGAGCTCACTATAGGTTATATTCTTCTCTCTAGCTGCAATCTCTAGAGCAACCCTCACAAGTCTTTTTGCAATTCCCTGCAACAAAATCCCAACATGCCATACCGTAAATAAGAAAGCATAATACTAGAATTATCAGTAAATAATAAAAGGAAATACAAGTAGCTAAAAAGAACAAGCTCGTACTTCTTGTGGACCGGTGTTCATAATTTTAGCCGCATCCTCATTTCTCAGTAATTTCCAAAGTCCACCAGATCCAAATATGATGAATTTGTTGCTGTCTCTTAAGACTCTTGAGTATATCTCCGGTTCTGCTGATAGCAAAGGTCGGGTAAAATCAGAAGGCTCAAGTTCTGTCAGCGGTACTTCGGAGGCTGGGTATAAAGTGAAAGGCTCCCGCTTCAAATATGCATTTCCTATACATCTGCTTACCTCGGTTACGCCTGCAACACGCCATGCATCTTTATTATACATCACAATATCTGGATCATCATGCAATTTCGCGAGTTCTACTTTAATATGCTTGTGACAAGCATTGTGATCTCTGACCAACTGCTGAACACGGAGTCCACCAAATGGACCCAAAGAACCCATTACAGCACGGGAGTCTCCAAGGTTAGCAATATATAGTCAGTCTCCCTTTCCATATAATACAACACAGACAGCTAGAAGTAGCTAGAACTCGCTCTGGCTGCACTTATTGTAACTCGTCAGCTTTACGCATATTAATTAGTGTTTTTACAATATTAATAAAATTATAATTTGTAATTTGGATATCCAAAAAATCGATCCAAATCAAACCGCAGAAAATTGAATCGGATCAGATTTTTTAGCCAATCATTCAAAACCGAACCAAACCGCAAATAAATATATCTTTAAATCGAATGACATTTTGCTTTAAAACCAAAACCAATCCAAACAGAATCGCAAACACCCTAGTCACATATATGCAACACTAGATAATGTCTTATATTTGCACTAAATTCTTTTATTCAAGAATTCTTTGAGAGATTGTATTCTTTATTAAGATTTTCTTTTTTGAAATGGTCACAATTCAAATCATCCCCTCCCGGCATTTCTATCTACTTTAAATTTATTACATTAAATTAGGGATTAAACTTTAGGGATTAGAGTTTAATGGTACTTTTGCGTGGTATATGTTTCATATCAATTTCTATAATGTTTCATATCATTTTCTATTCAACTTGATTTATCTCATTAAATTGTTCTTGGATTTTTCAAATATTTTTCTTTCAACATCTAATACAGCACCGTGATTCTTTCTCCCTATCTTCTTGATAGTGCTCTCATCTTCATCATTCAAAGAATCATTTTCTTGTACACATTGTGCCCCATGTGTTAGCTCAATCTAGGGTTCCTGTTAAATCTTACTAAGTTCTTAGTTGATAAGTCTATAGGTTCAAAGTTCTACATAACACTCAAATGACTAATCTAGCCATACACATACATGCACACCCGAACACACGTGCATGAACGCATGCGCGCACACACACACGCTCCATATCCCAAGTCTATTCAATTCAAAATTCATTATAAATAAATAATTAACACCAAAAAATTGTGGTGGCAAGAGTTCGTAATTCACTAAAAATAAATAACACTACAAAATGATAAGCTCACATTGTTCTTTTACTTCCTTTTTAAGGCTCTCATAAATAAAATTACGATCAAACCAATAACTATCAGAGCCTTTATTCCATCTACCAGCACCTATATAAAATTTGTCAAGAGAGCTGAAAGTAATTTTCCTCAGTGAATTCACATTTTTCATTAGGTTTCTAGCCAACTCAATTGCATGTGTGGTGCATACACAACCGTGCAGCTCAACATATTTCAATTCATTGTGAAAAAACTTTGCATTTTCTCTTTGAATTTGAAATCCAATCCAACTTGAAACTCTAACCTGCAATGAAAAATAACAATTTCATCATCCATAAACTAATGCAAAAAGGTTACTTTAAAAAAAAATTACTTTCTATCAATTTTTAAAGAAATAAGATGAGCATAAAAACATTGTTAAATAACTCACCGTCAAAGAAAACTTTTGAAGATGTTGAGAAGCAGTTAAAACGTCTAAAATGGAAAAGTTTTCCTTTAAAGGATAATACGTTTCTTCGATAAATAACTCCAATTGTCTTAGATTTTGGAATCTATCCAAGACCTTTAACTTCAATATCTGCATACATGTAAATCAAAATCAATCGGTGACTCATCATCGCAGATGTTGGCAAATTATATAGAAATTATAAAAATCAACCATCATATACATGGGCGTTGAATGACTCACCTGCGAATGACCCATGATCATAGCTAGATTCTCAATCTGATTTAACTTTGGAATTGGACACAAGGAATTTAGATTTTTCTCTTTTAATTTTGAAGTTGGAAAGTCGAAACGACTTTTCTCTCCTGCAGCTGCATTCCAAAAGACCTTGGATAACTTTGGTGCAGTAACAGAAAATTTTCTTGTGGTGTGACCGGAATATTCAAAGGATGAAAGATTCTTTGAATCAAGAGATATCTTAGAAGGAGCCGATCTCCCAGAGCAGCAGTCAATTATTTTCAAATGACGCAATGATGTACTGTTAATTTCCACTTCATTTACCATTGGGCAGTTTATAAGGGCAAGGGACTCAAGTTGAAGACATTGTCCAAACAAATATGGCCAGAACCACGTTTGGAGAAATTGAAATCCATCCATCACAACATTTGTCACGTTTCTAAAGCTAGACATATCAACAAATCCCAACAGGCTACTGATGTAGAGAGAGCGCGATAACATACGAGACTCAATGTCTATTGAGTGGATATCATGACAAAAGTATTCAAGAGATGAGAGATTTGGTGCAACGATATCAATCATCTTCCCATGCATAGAGAGGGTAACAATTTTCAAATGAAACAATGTTGGACTAATTATTCTGCTTACAAGTAAGTCACACTTATCGAGAGTCAAGTCTACTAGATAAGTGCAATTGGAAAACAGGTCCTCTAGCAGTTCCTGCTCCACAATAGTTCGATGCAAGACAAGAGTTCTTAGATTCTTCAATCCAGAGAATTCCATAGGTGCTACTAGGTGACAATTCTCTAGATGTAGATAGGTTAGAGAATCAGAATTAGATAAGAGAGAAAATGAAAATCTACAAGGTTTTATTTCACAAATAAAATCAAAATCAAAATCAAAATCCCTGTTGTCCGGCAAGAATAATAGTTCAATATGTTTGACACCCTTAGCAATCCCATGAGAAATCAATCTAGCAATGACATCACTGTGTTCATCATTTAATGGAAATTTGACTCGTATTGAACTGACAGTGGCGTGTTGATAGTTTAACACGAATTTATCCAATCTTGCGGTAAATTGAGATCGGAGGATTTGAATCAGTAGAATGTCATTTGGTAGTGTATTATAGTGAAATGTGTTATAGAGATCAAAATTGTGGTTTGTTGATGATAACATCCATTCCTGAAGCCAGTGTTTGGACAATGCGCAAGTTTTGAACTGATCCTTTAAATTTAACTTGGAAAAGATGATCGATAAAAGACAATCAGGCAACTCACCGTCCATTGTTGCTGCACACGAGAATTCAAATTAATACTATAATAATGAGGATAACAGAATTCAAATTAATACTATAACAATGAGGATAACAGAAGTATATATTAATCTGCAAGAAATTATGACTAAACAAGTAAACAAAACTGAATAAATTAAAATTTCATGTAGAACCTAAAAAATAATAATTAGAGTTGCAGAAAGAAATACCTTTGAACACAAAAGGGGAGTTGGAAACTACAACAGAAACCAATATGTTTTTTGTGTTGCAACACCATTAAATAAGATTTCATCTTTACAGAATCAGGGTTTTTACTTTTGAAATGGGTTTCTCCTTTTGGATTAAATGTGACAGGTCCAATATTATATTAGGCTCCTATTAAAAAAATAAAAAGAAAATTGCTTATTCCACGCTAACGGTGACAAAAATACCCTATGCAAATTTTAAAACGTTTTTTTTTTATTTCAAAATGTTTTTCCATCCAACTCTTTTTTTATTTCGTAAAAATAAACATAAATTTTTATTTTAAAAAATCGATTTTATTTTATTTTTGAAAAAATTATTTTTTATATTTAAAAAAATTATTTTTTAATATATTAATAAAAACAATTAAATTTTTTGTTAAAAAAATTTATTTTTTGTATTTTTAAGAAAAAAAATTAACATTTTAATTTTTGATATCGACTTTTTTACCAAAAAAAATTCGAGTTTTTTTTCGAGAAAAGGTTTTATTTTTTTTTTATTAAAAAAAATTGGTCTTTTGTTTTGGAAAAAAATCGTTTTTTTTTTAAATCAATTTATTTTTGGAAAAAAAGATCGACTTTTTTTTCGAAAAACAAATCCGTTTCTATTTAAAAAAAACCAATTTTTTTCAAAAAAAAATAGATTTTTTTTTGAAAATATTACAGTTTTTTTATTAGAAAAAATCAATTCTTTTCTTTTAAAAATCTATTTTTAATTATTTTTTAAAAAATATATTTTTAATTATTTTTAAAAAAAATCTATTTTTAATTATTTTTTAAAAAATAAATCTAACGAAAATAAAAATAATCTATTCGATCATTAAAATATGTTGGATGGATTGAATCCATCGATGCATATAAATGGATGGATTTAATCCAATCCATTAACTTATTTTTTATGTGGTGGATGTATTTGATGAATTTTTTGATAGATGAATTGAATGGATTTTAACTTAATGGATCCAATTGTCATCTCTAGTATTTACACCATATAAAATTATGTATTATAATATCGATCTTGCCTCGGTAAGTATGATGTCTACAATGTCCCTCCACTTAAAGCCTCCCGAAAAGATAATCGATAAAAGACAATCAGACAACTCACTGTCCATTGTTGCTGCACACGAGAATTTAAATTAACAGTATAACAATGAGGGAAACATAAGTATATATTAATCTGCAAGAAATTATGACTAAGCAAGTAAATAAAAATGAATAAATTAAAATTTCATGTAGAATCTACAAAAAATAATTAGGGTTGCAGAAACGAATACCTTTGAACACAAAAGGGGCGCTGGAAACTACAACAGAAACGAATACGTTGTTGTGTTGCAACACCATTAAATAGGATTTCATCTTTGTAGAATTAGAGTTTTTACTTTTGGAATGAGTTTCTTCTTTTGGATTAAATGTGACAGGTCTAATATTATATTAGACTCAATCCCATTAAAAAAAAAAGGAAATTGCTTATTCCACGCTAGCGGTGAAAAAATACCCTATGCAAATTTTAAAATGTTTTTTGGATTTTGAAATGTATTTTTCAAACGATACTTGGGTTTCATCAAAATCTATACCAATTGAGTTTTACCACATTTTTTTATAGAACTTGTTCTGAAGATACATCTTCGAACACACATCATATATAATTAATCTATTTTTCACTGAAACACATTCATTTTTTAAAAAATTATTCGGAGATGTATCCCCGTATTTACACCAGACAAAATTATGTATTATAATATCGATCGTGACTCGGTAAGAATGGTGTCTAAAATATCCCTCCACTTAAAGCCTCCCGAAAAGACTCCTCTATCAATACTCGCATGCGCAAAACCCATAATATGTTGACATCTATGCAACACATCAACAATATTATCTACCATAGTTTATTACTCTTCTAATGTCTCTTGATGAGATGACTTAGGTGGATCTCACAGAGCATCCAATGTCATATAAAAATGTGACACCCATAATACCAATAGACATAGTCGAATGCACTGCTCCAATCGCTATGAGCTATTGTACCTCATGCTTTCGTCAGTACTAGATGACTAAGAAATCATTCTACACAAAGTCTACACGAGAATTCAAATTAATAGTATAATAATGAGGGAAACAGAAATATATATTAATCTGCAAGAAATTATGGCTAAACAAGTAAATAAAACTGAATAAATTAAAATTTCATGTAGAACCTACAAAAAATAATTAGCGTTGCAAAAAGAATACCTTTGAACACAAAAGGGGCGTTGGAAACTACAACAGAAACCAATACGTTTTTTGTGTTGCAACACCATTAAATAAGATTTCATCTTTATATAATCAGGGTTTTTACTTTTGGAATGTGTTTCTTATTTTTGATTAAATGTGACAGGTCATATATTATATTAGGCTCAATCCTATTAAAAAAAAAGGAAATCGCTTATTCCACGCTAGCGGTGAAAAAAATACCCTATGCAAATTATAAAATGTTTTTTGGATTTCAAAATGTATTTTTCGAACGATTCTTGGGTCTCATCAAACCTATACCACTTGAGTTTTACCACTTTTTTTCTCTAGAATTTGTTCTGAAGATACATCTTTAAACACACTTCATATATAATTCATGCATTTCTCACTAAATCATATTCATTTTAAAATAAATTGATTTGGAGATGTATCCCCGTATTTACACCAGACAAAATTATGTATTATAATGTCGATCTTGCCTCGGTAAGAATGGTGTCTACAATGTCCCCCCACTTAAAGCCTCCCGAAAAGATAATCGATAAAAGACAATCAGACAACTCACTGTCCATTGTTGCTGCATACGAGAATTTAAATTAATAGTATAATAATGTAGGAAACAGAAGTATATATTAATTTGCAAGAAATTATGACTAAACAAGTAAACAAAACTGAATAAATTAAAATTTCATGTAGAACCTACAAAAAATAATTAGACTTGTAGAAAGAATACCTTTGAACACAAAAGGGGCGCTAGAAACTACAACAGAAATCAATACGTTTTTTTTTTGTGTTGCAACGCCATTAAATAGGATTTCATCTTTATAGAATCAGGATTTTTACTTTTGGAGTGGGTTTCTTCTTTTGGATTAAATGTGACAGGTCCAATATTATATTAGGCTCAATCCTATTAAAAAAAAAAGAAAATCGCTTATTCCAAGCTAGTGGTGAAAAAAAATACCCTATGCAAAATTTAAAATGTTTTTGGATTTCAAAATGTATTTTTCGAACGATTCTTGGGTCTCATCAAAACCTATACCACTTGAGTTTTACCAGATATTTTTTTTCTAGAATTTGTTCTGAAGATACATCTTTAAAAACACTTCATATATAATTCTGTCTTTTCTCACTGAAACATATTTATTTTAAAATAAATTGATTCAGAGATGTATCCCTGTATTTACACCAGACAAAATTAGTATTATAATGTCGATCTTGCCTCGGTAATAATGGTGTCTACAATGTCCCTCCAATTAAAGCCTCCCGAAAAGATAATCGATAAAAGACAATCAGATAACTCACTGTCCATTATTGCTGCCTACGAGAATTTAAATTAATAGTATAACAATGAGGGAAACAGAAGTATATATTAATCTGCAAGAAATTATGACTAAAAAATTAAACAAAACTGAATAAATTAAAATTTCATGTAGAACCTACAAAAAATAATGAGGCTTGTAGAAAGAATACCTTTGAACACAAAAGGGGCGCTAGAAACTACAACAGAAATCAATACGTTTTTTTTTGTGTGTTGCAACGCCATTAAATAGGATTTCATCTTTATATATTCAGGGTTTTTACTTTCGGAATGGGTTTCTTCTTTTGGATAAAATGTCACAGGTCCAATATTATATTAGGCTCAATCCTATTAAAGAAAAAAAGGAAATCGCTTATTCCACGCTAGCGGTGAAAAAATACACTATGCAAATTTTAAAATGTTTTTTGGATTTCAAAATGTATTTTTCGAACGATTCTTGGGTCTCATCAAAACCTATACCACTTGAGTTTTACCACATATTTTTTTTCTAGAATTTGTTCTGAAGATACATCTTTATACACACTTCATATATAATTCATGCATTTCTCACTGAATCATATTCATTTTAAAATAAATTGATTAGGAGATGTATCCCCGTATTTACACCAGACAAAATTATGTATTATAATGTCGATCTTGCCTCGGTAAGAATGGTGTCTACACTGTCCCTCCACTTAAAGCCTCCCGAAAAGACTCCTCTATCAATACTCGCATGCGCAAAATCCATGATATGTTGACATCTAAGAAACACATTAACAACATTATCTACCATAGTCTATTACTCTTCTAATATCTCTTGATGGGATGGCTTAGGTGGATTTCACAGAGCATCTGATGTCATATAAAAATGTGACACCCATAATACCAATAGACATAGTTGAATGCACTGCTCCAATCACTATGAGCTATTGTACCTCATGCTTCCGTTAGTACCAGATGACTAAGAAAATCATCCTACACAACATCTACACGAGATTTCAAATTAATAGTATAATAATGAGGGAAACGTAAGTATATATTAATCTGTAAGAAATTATGACTAAACAAGTAAACAAAACTGAATAAATTAAAATTTCATGTAGAACCTACAAAAAATAATTAGGGTTGCAGAAACGAATACCTTTGAACACAAAAGGGGCGCTAGAAACTACAACAGAAACGAATACGTTTTTTGTGTTGCAACGCCATTAAATAGGATTTCATCTTTATAGAATCAGAATTTATT